TTGTCCCAACTAGCGACTTACAATACATCGTGCCCCTTACGAGTTATAGCCCACATTGACCTAGATGCTTTCTATGCACAATGCGAGATGGTTCGCTTGGGCGTGCCCAAGGACCAGCCTCTGGCCGTCCAGCAATGGTACGTGGCCTTTTCGTCTCATCGTTCTATCAACTACTTAACAAACTCAAGGCAAGGCTTGATTGCTGTCAACTATCCAGCACGTGAGCACGGCATCGGTCGTCATTGCACTTTGACGGATGCGAAGAAGTTGTGCCCTACCCTGGTTGCCCAGCATGTAGCAACTTGGCGAGAAGGCGACGACAAATGGGCATATCGCGATGATGCCGCTGCCAACATCCAGAGCGACAAAGTCTCGCTCGATCCGTACCGTCTTCAATGCAGAAAGATTTTGGCAATCATCAAGGAAAGCTTGCCCGCGGATCAGCAAAAGGTTGAAAAGGCCAGCATAGACGAGGTTTTTCTTGACCTCTCCGCACAGGTCCATGCAGTTCTCCTGGAACGCTTCCCCGAGTTGAGAAACCCACCGCCTTACGACGATCCGACGGAGAATCTTCCCGCCCCGTCCGTAGCAGCCCTGGATTGGCAAGCGGATGCCCTCATCGACCTGAATGAGGAGGAGGAGTCCGTGGATCCGGACTGGGACGACGTGGCGATCCTTATTGGGTCTGAGATTGTCCGCGATGTCCGACGACAGATCCTGGAGAAGTTACACTACACATGCTCCGGAGGTATTGCCAAAAATAAGCTGTTGAGCAAGTTGGGCTCCGGCCACAAGAAGCCCAACCAACAGACCGTCATTCGAAACCGAGCCGTAGCCCAATTCTTGTCAGGCTTCAAATTCACCAGGATACGCAATCTCGGGGGGAAGCTTGGCGAAACGGTGGTATCAACCTTTAACACTGATGTCGTCGACGAACTACTGGCCATCCCTCTGGACCAGATGAAAGCAAAACTAGGCCAGGACACCGGAAGCTGGGTTTTCAATACTATTCGTGGCATCGACACTAGTGATGTCAACTCCCGCACACAAATCAAGTCGATGCTATCGGCAAAATCGTTCCGGCCCTACATCAACACCCCGGAACAAGCCCATCGGTGGCTGAGGATCTTTGCCGCCGACATCTTCGCTCGCTTGGTTGAAGAGGGCGTTTTGGAGAACAGGCGCAGGCCGAGAACAATAAACTTGCACCACCGGCATGGCGGCCAGATGAAATCACGCCAAGGCCCAATACCTCAGGGCAAGGCGCTAGATGAGCAAGCCTTATTCGAACTTGCAAAGACCCTCTTGAACCAAATAATAGGGGAAGGCAACGTTTGGCCATGTGCCAACCTCAGCTTAAGTGTGGGCGGCTTCGAGGACGGCATCACAGGCAACATGGGCATTGGCGCTTTCTTGGTGAAAGGAGAAGAAGCCCAGTTACTAAGGCAGAGCACCCGCGAAGCAAGTGACCTGTCCAATCCTGAAGAAAAGCCGCCAAAGAAACGTCGGACGGAGGCAGGGGCGATCCATCGCTTCTTCACACGCAACGTTTCTGCTGACGAGGAACTGCCGTCCGACGGTGCATTCGCGACGAACGATATCAAACCCCGAGAAGAGACTAAGTCAGGTGAGCCTTCCACGGCTATCCCAGGTACGATTCTGGCGCACGAGGACGGCAACGGCGGCTTTCATCAGGTGCCAATCACGGCCCTCGTGTGCTCGCGGTGCAACACGGGGTTTGAAACGCCAGAAGAGCACCAGAGCCATGAGGATTGGCATTTTGCCAAAGATCTACAAGACCAAGAACGTGGCAAGCCCACACTTGCTCAGCATCCGTCTGCCACCCGCAGCTCCGGCCCAAAGACTCCAGGTACTTCGGCCAAGCGGGGGGGCCGCGGCGGCAAGCTCGAGCAGGGACAGAGCAGACTGAAGTTTGGATGAATCCTGATGATATGCCCGTCTCTACCAGCATCACGCCAAAAGTTTGTCGAGCGGGTCCTGCCGCCTGATACGCGACGAGACTTGGAAGTTGGTAAACTTTGACGCCCTGAGACCTGGTCCAAGGGTCACCGCAGTACAGGAGATTGACGGCGAAGCCCCCGACGAACCTGAGGAATGATCACTAATGGGCGTTTTCTTTCCAAATTTCAGCTTCACCGAGCGAATGATGAGGCGAGTCTTACACAAGGGTACCCACAGGGCAGGGACGACATGACTTCGGGGCCTGGTCTGGCTATCTGTTGTTGCCCAGTTGGGCACTCGGTATAACAACTTGGGAAGCAATCCTGTCTCACAGTAGACACAGTCGCGGCCCTGGGCGTTGCTTCCGGCCTTGCGCCGGGTTGCAGTCTATCGGAGGACGTGGTTATATGAGACATGAGGACGGATCAACTTGGCGAACCACAACGGCCTGACGGGACAGGGACATACATGCGGTTGAGCGTCTCCGCAGGCGCAAGCGACGAGTTGGATGGCTACATGTGGATCGAAACTACCCGCAAGTGTCGTCATTCCAATTCCCGCCTGCAGCCTTCCGCGACATATCCGGTTCCTCACGGCCCACGGGTTAAACCAATATTGGGAGCGTCAGGGGCAACGAGGCCGGCGAGTAAGGCTTCGGACACACGATTCACGAACTTGAATATGACCTCTTGAATAAGAAATCGGCACTCAACACGCTTGTGCTCTGGATGGAAGAGACCGGTGCACACTAGATCCCTGATTGAGGCCGGTTCCGTGATACTGTTGGATCGAGGTTTACGCATCGTTTTGGTTGCGTCTGGATTGACACAATCCGGATGACGTCTGCAAGTGATTGGTTGCTAATTAGGCATCTTTGGGCCAATGTGGGTTGGGCCACATTTTTGGCGCGAGGCATTGATACCCAACGTTGCCAACCACCACCTGGCCCCGACGCACCGTTACCAAATTCCCGACTAGTAACACTACTCTATATCCGTATCCGTACCAACCACACAAATCAGCGTTTGCGGGAAAAAAAAGCACGCACTCGCCTTGTCTTGAGCCGTGGACTATCGCGGACAGAATGGAGACTGGGAGAGGAAAAGAGACGGGGCATTCCCGGCAGTCGGAAGCGATAGGCCACCGCTTCGCAGCGATGCAAAGGGGCCACATCGCCGACCCCGAGTGGGTTCGCAGCAACGGCGAAGTCAATTTTTGATGAGGACACCGCCAGCAACCGCCGGACGATAAAGAGACAGGGCAAGCAACGGGGAGCTGCGCCGTCAAGTTGCGAAATGGCCGGCAGTGGAGGGCAAGGGTCCCAGGAAACGAACGTCCGTCGTCCCACGCTCCACAGCCACGGGGGTTTGATAGAAGTCGGCCGGGGAGCGGATGTCAGGACTGTCATTGAGGACGTGCTTCGAACAACTAGTTTTTGCGCCCTCAAAAGCCCGCCGGTTGGTCGCCGTCCGAGGCTGGGATATCCCGTCCTAGTAGGGTACCAACAGCTCGGTCAGTCAGACTTGAGGAAATTGAAAGGGACTGGAAGAAAAAAGTAAAAGACCCAGGCTTGCATCATCTAACCATTTTTGCGTCTAGCAAACTGACATAGGCAACGAGGCCATCGGGGGCTGGGGTTTGGCAAATGAAGTCGGCAAGAAAATGCAACTTTCAATACTGGCTCACGCGCTTGGTTCTCAAGTGCGCAGACTATGCGTGCACTTACCGACTGTGGCATGCCGTTGTCACTTACTTCTTTGCAGAATAAATTAGCTTTTGAAGTGCGAACGTTTCCCAGCTTGTTCAACGGGGATCGACACGGATTGCAATGTCAATGTGATCTCCCGTAGCATCCTATCCGCCTATTCCAAAGTTACACAGACACAGAGAGTACATACTTCTTCATTAGCCTCGGCAATCAGACTGCCGCTCAAGCAAATGGCCTAGCGGATGTTGAAAAGCGCCACTACGCCAAAGTAGTTAAACGTCTTCTCGATACATCCTTGACAAGGACAGCCCAAAACGCCATAGAACGACGGTCTAGAAGGGACTACCCATGAGCCACATCTTCTCCAAACTACTTCATCCCAAGCCCATGAATGCACTTCAGCCTCAGCTACACCAAATTCTCAAACAAGAATACTTGGGGCGGAAGGTCTGGATCCTTTTCGAACCCCCTATGAGGCACGCAACAGCACCGGACCTGACGATACCCGGACCTGGGAGAGGTGTCGGGCTCTATCACGGGCAACGGCGCATCTCACTTAGGGCGAAGACACCCTAAGGGACGGCTACAGACCACGAGAATTTACTTTGAGCTGTTGACGATCTTCTCGCGGTTTCGGCTCAACAGCGTCTCCCGCACACAAGTCTCTCTCGATTGAACCTCGAAATGCCTTGTCGCATTGGATGAGTTTCGACTTTTGGGGGGCGGAGGCAGGGACAAATAATACACGCACCATGGAGCCAAGCCCCCCGGTGCGACGAGATTCGAGCCTGTTGTGCTCCGTAACATGAAGGACAAACCTTCGCATTGGATCTCACCATAGCTCGCTATCATGCCGTCTGTCTCATCTCTACCCGTTTGGAGCTTGACACGACAGTGAGCCACATATAACGAGCGCTTGGCTGCTGCATCTTTCTGGCTGGGTAAATCAGTTACTGGTCAGCTTGAGAGCACGTACCAAGTTGGCCCGCCTCAGTTGCCTTTCGTTCGCCTTACGTGCGCCTATTTGTACAGCAACGAGGACAAAATGCAGGCAGAGGGCAGGCCTCAATATCCCAACGAATACCAACTCTGTGTACGGATACCAATAGGTGTGTGAGTGCGTGTGCGCCAACAGCCCTCGCATGTTTGCTTCTTCCCACAGACGCACATCCTGTACCTATCCAGACGTACTCACGCACGTCACCGTGGATGTCGGCTCAACGCTGTCCTAGGTGGTGGTCGTGCTGCGCGCTAAAACGGAACATCGAAAGCCCCGGACGGGACGACGTTTCCTGGGGCGCCCTGGACTTCCGTGAGTAAGATTTTTGTTGTTCAGAGTGCGCGCACGACGCAGGGAAGTTCCTCGGTATCCCTTTTGGGCTGCGCGACAAGTCAACCCAACCTCCCAACCTCTCATGAGCTGCAAGCCTGCACCTCATCCCGTCTCCATCCACTCAGAGCGGCCGCCACCCATTCTTCCCTGCTGCCGCCCAACCGCTCTCCGCCTCTCTGTCAATCTGTATCCGTACGGAGCATTTGTACCAGGTTTCTGCTTTTTGCTTTCCGTCCCGCCAGGTGGCTTTTACCGCCTCTGCTGGCTGGTCAGGTTTTCGCTGCGTATCCATCCGTACCTAGACTGAGGCTGGGAGGTATCCGTACTGGAGGTACAGCTCGAGATGTACAACTAGATACCTCTCATCCTCCCGCCGTCCGTCTTCCTCTCGGGAACTAGGCGGCGCAAGCTGGGCTAAGCAGGCTCTCATCGCTTGGCCAGCAAGAGGCTAGACTTGGGCCACACCATAGACGCAACACAACCCACCACTAGGCCACCCCGTCCTCGTACACTAAGGGGATCCAGTGGCATATTGGCCAGGTTGCCAGGGTTTGCGTAGAGCGCGAGGGAAAATCCGCACGGGACTGTCAGCCAACAACGTGGTGCCAGCACGCCCTGTGGTTTCCTTGTCTGGTCGGTCCCGAGCCTTCTCTACTGGATGGACGGAGCAGAAGGAGAAGGCCTCCCATCCTACCTCATCGTCTCACGGGGTGTGAGGAAGCGAGATGGAAGTAGAGAGAGAGAGAGAGAGAGAGAGAGAGAGAGAGAGAGAGAGAGGGAGACAAGCCATACACAATACACAGTAGAGGCAGAGGGTGTGGGTGTCGTGTGAGTGTAGTCCATAGGCTTAGGTCATTCGAATTGCCTACCTGAGGCTACCTTACCTTACCTTACCTTACATAGGTACGTTCACGGTTCAGGTCGCTACCACCAACAGCAGTGAGGTAAGGTAAGGTACAAGGGCAGTACTCGATACCAAGTACACCTCACGCCTCAACGGCTCAGAACCGCAGTAAAAAAGGGAGGACGAGGGGTGTTGGTGACCAGTCACAGGCTGGCCTCACTGACCACACTTGGTCACTGGACGCAGAACCCAGTGGTTGACTGGTCCACGTCGGTGACTTCACTTACCGCTGCCCGCTAGGTCCCGGTTTTTCCTACCAGAAGCCCCCACCCCCAAGAGAAGAGCCAGACTCTGGCCTGTTCCTTTTCTGCGCCCACCACCCACTCCCTGCCCGCTTTTGCCTTCCCATTCTTCCTCTTTTTCTTCCCGCCATCTTGACAATCCCATTTCTTGCTTTCCTCCCCTCCTCCTCCTTCTCTTTTTTTCCTGCCTCTTGCTCTCTCTCTCTCTCTCTCACCTTCACGTCGCCTCGCCTCGCTCGACCCTTCCTCTCGACCGGTTATCCTCCTCCTACTCAGACCACCCCCGCTTTCAACCGTCAACATGTCGCGATCCTCCCGTGGCCCCCCTCCGTCGGCTTCGTCTGCCGCTCAGAGCGGACGCTCTAACGAGTACTTCGTTCCGAGAGATGGAATTGATCGCGAGGTCATCACCGCCGATATTTGCCGCTACCTCGGCAACGACGCCCTCGTGCGCCCGGGTCACTACGAGAACCCCCAGACCGGACAAGTCTCCCAGGGTTACTACATCACCGCCTACCGAAACCTAACAACAGTGAGTGGCTTTGGTCCGCTGTCGTCGCGCTTCTCCGACCATCATACTGATATATCGCCTCCGTAGGCCATGATCGACGACTTGAAGGCCGATTCTGCGCGATGGGAGGCAGAGAGGCGGCAACAGGCCGCCCGGAACAGTTCAGGAGGTACATTTGCCTCAATAGACGCGACGGCTCTGTTGTCGAGACGTTCTAACTCCCCTACAGCAGGGTACCGCCAGTCGGAGACTCACTCCGCACGCCAACACTATGGTCCCACGGATTCCACTGGCTACCCGGACGTAGGACGTGATTCCTATGAAAGCACCCCTAGGTACCCCGGATCTCAAGCCCCAGGATACTCAGGGAACTCTGCCCAGGGCTATTCTGGATCTACCCCTTCCTACCAACAGCAGCCTCCTTCTTCTTACTCAAGTGGTGGGTATCCCTACTCTGGACAGCCGGACCCAAGAGCCGACCCCAGATACGCTGGACAAGGTCAAATGGGACAAGGATACGGTGAACCCCCGTACATTGCCACGGCCGCAAACATGGCGGCGCGAAGCAACTACCCCGCCGACCCCTACGGCGCAGGACAGCCCTCTCGGACTCCTACATCGATGGCACCTCCTCAAGGAGGCCCGGCTTACCCTTCCGGATCACAGGTTCCGGCAGGATATCCCACAGGTTACTACCCGCCCTCGACATCGGCCTCGTACGGTTCCACACCGGTGGCTTCTGATCCGTTGTACGGACGCGGTGCGTATACAGCTTTGTACCCCGACCCTACCTTTTCGACCTAATCTAATTATGTAGCGTCCCCAGCAGGTGGTGTTGCTCACCCGTCTCTCTCTGGCCAAGGATCACAGTATGATAAGCCCCCTGCACCCCGTGGTTCTGCTCCTCCTTCGAGTTCCAAAGCTCAGACGACAAGTAGTGGATCATCGCACTCCCGCCGCATCGAACGGGATTCCGACAGGCATCACCAATCCGACCGCCATCGCCCCCCGCGTCGCTAATACGTTACCTTCACTGGAATTTACTGTAGCCACTCCGACTGCACAGGACGCCCGTCCTGTGAGTCGCTGTCATGAACTTGATCCTAATGATCTCAGGTCTTGGACCCGTTTCCGGTGTCGGCTTCCTTATCATTTGTTTCTCCTGGATAGACCCTTTTCCTGGACTCGAGGTGTGGTATCCACCTCGTGAGTTGCAAGTATGCATCTCGCACTCTCTCCGTTGTCTGGCTTTGCTGGCGTTTTGGCTCTGCGCGGCCTCGGAGCTTCCCTGGCTCTACATACATTCCTGGACCGTTACGTCTCGAGTTCTATTACATCCTGCTCGGATCTCACCTGGACTTGACCTGGATTTCACCAAGAATGGATTCTGCCGCGCATACCCCTGGACGTTTTACGACTGCATATATGGATGGGCTTACGATTTTTGCTATTCGATCAACCTTTTCTTTTCAGCAACTATGACTTGCTACCTACCACGTGTTTATGGCCCGGAACCCAGGAACGGAAAAGGACGTACTTTCTTGAACCGAGTCGACTTTGACGACTCAAACGGACCACCTTGCTGTCTGGAGCCGTCCTGACGGTGGATGTAATGTCATTTTACTCTTCTCCTGGTCTGGGTTTCATTCTTCCTACTTGGACTTTCGGAGTTCGGGGTCATCATGGTGTTTCCTTATAGAATGGGTGACGACGGCATCTGGACAGCAAGGTGGAGTTCACGGACTGCGCTTTTTTGAACAACCTCGAAAGGACACTCTTGCAACTTCCCTCATAGGGATCTGGGACACTCGTGATTGAGGACTCTCATTTACCTAACGTCACAGCCATCCAACCGGACTTGTTGCAACGCAAACTACTCCCCCACTGGAAAGAAACTACTGGCCATTTGCAAACCTGGATCTGCTCTAAAGCACTCGCACCGCACCAAGGACTTCATTCCACATTTTGGAGATGCCGGATCAAAGCTTCATGGACCAGCCTGTGGCAGTACCACCCATCGGACAGTGGCCGTGGACAAGAAAGGCCTTGACCCCCACAACCGAGACTCCCAAACCCTTTTGGATCTCGCGTCAGCTCATTGAGCTCAAACAAGAAATTACTGGGAGGAGATACATCTCCAACGTGGGTGAGTTCTACGTGGTCTGGCCTGCCCACCGTACCGATACAACGGTCAAGATATTCCATCGATCATGAGAGGCCGTTGCCGGTCAATATACCTTGGCACCAGACAACATCCGTTGCTTTTTGGATGCATGTTGCGATCATCAATGCAGCCTGCCATGGGACACGAGTCTGGCGGTTCATGGTACCATTACCCACTGTGACCTGAAAATGAGGCATGGTGAGGTTCACTAGCGCCAGGCTAGGCACATGATACAAAAGACTCAGCCCTACTCTCTTGGACTACTTTCCCTGGATTGCGGCTGCCCAGCCTTGTGGAATACTTCCTGGATCTCGTGGAGCCTTCCCGGCAGCTCTTCCGGAACAGCTCGTTAGTCACCACTATTTCTATTCGTTGTGTTTTCTTCGCATCGTGGAACCATATCTATCCAAGCCGGGACATCGAACGCGGGAACTAACACGCTCGTCGCAGGCCACTTCACAGGGAACAAGCACACAAAGTTATGGCCAGGATGGATGTAGTGGCTCAATTGAGCGGACTTGATGTATTGCATATATCGGCGATTGTTTATGTTTGGACCTTTCTGGACAGTTTTGGAGTTGTGGTGACATTTACCGGATTTATCTTATGCGTTTTTATCGATGTATCTGGCGTTTGGGCATAGGGTAACCAGCGGTTATCGGCTATTGAATGATGACTAAGTCTCTGTAATGAATTGAACGTTTCTGGATTCTCTCTGATCCGTCATACCTACCATGGTCATTTTCTCGTCATTAGTCACCTTGTAGACGCGTCTTGATACTCTGCAGGTCGCATCTGGACAGCCTTGCCTAGCATCACCCCAGTCCTGGGTGATGTCACCCTGCCCACCCTCCCTCTCTCCCTCCCCCCTCGACGATGTAAGGTTCGTTCATCGCCACTGCTGACGAGATGTGTGTTGCTCGTGTCGTGTGCGTGGTCTGAAGCTTAAGCGTCAGGCACCTACCCACCCATCCATCCTCTTGGGACCGATTTGATTTTCATGTCGGGGAAAAAGGATTGGGTGAATGGCGCGGAGGGGGGCCCCTCTGGTGATAGAGTTTGGACTGGGATGGGGTGTATCCAGGGAGAAGGTTTGTGAGTTGATTGGGGGTTTCGACGTGGTGGCAGTTGGTGAGGTAGTCGTACAGACGTGGAGAGAGATCTTGACATGGACATTGAGCGGGTTGCTTGGGTTTCTGTGGTCGTCTTGGATGGGTTTAGTGGTTCATTTGTTGTGTGTGGATGTATATCATATTGTATGTTTTGACCACTATTCAACTGATGGATGTTGGGATGTACGAACAACATGGTGAGGCCAGGTTCGACGCCATGGGGAGGGTATGCTGGACATTAAATGGGTTTCCTTTGGGAGTGTTCATTGCCTTTTTGTTGGTGGGTAGCGAGGATGAAGAAAGATGAGAAGCAGATGAACTGTTGCCGTTCTGACCCCCGGGTCTGAATTTCCCCCCCAAGGTCTGAACTCCAGATCTGGGGAGGAGAATCCGGTTCATTGCCCTGCCAAGATTGATCGGATCGAGGCCTGGTGTTTTTCTTTGCCACCGTTCTCTCTGTTTACGCATGTTGATAAAGTTTATCTCTGGAGGAGCACAACCCCAATTCTTCTCCATGGTGTTTGCCATGACTTGTTCATTCCCTCATCCCATTTTCCGCATGCTGTTTAGCGGAGATTCGGCACCACCTCCTTTTTGAATATGTTTTGAAAGGACAGATATATAGGATGAAATTTAGGGATGGACTAGGGATGATGGGCATAGCAGCTGGGTTCCTGAGGTACATCAAGGGGAGATATTCACGTATCTTGTGAAGGATGAGAAGGTATCATGGTGACTTTGAGAATCTGATGGTTTACCTCGAAAGCAGGTGCCAATAATTAGTAGATGCTATGA